TACTGCATATGAAGTGATAGCAAGGAAAGTAAAGAAAGGTCTGAGGCTAAAGGTGTGAAAAATTACATATCAAAAGTTTTCCCAAACCTCTCCCATGGGTCCAGGCTGAATATTCAATCCTCAGCCCCTAAGGGTGTCTTATGGGGTGCATCTTTAGGCGACTTCATCCATCTGGTATGCAGAGATGGTTGACCTAGACTGGGCATAAACAAGTCCATTCAGCTGCGCAGTTGATGATGGGATCAATCCTCCCGCTTCATTTTGAGACTTCTCCACCAGCACATTTCCCCTCGCAAATACCTATGGCAGCTATGTTACTATGGCAGCCGATAGCAAGCAAACAAGAAGAGGCTGACAGACAAGATAAGAAATGAGATAGTTACCGCATTTTTCGGAGTATAAGATGTACCTTTTTCCCCCAAAAAAGAGGGTGAAAATCTGGGTTCATCTTATACACTGAATACAGTATTTTTGGCCATTTGAAACCCAGCCCCTTCACAAAAAATGGACATGCGGGGACTTTGGGAGGCCTGCAAAGTGCTCCTGGGGGCTGAGGAGGACAAAAACGAGCAAAAAACGGGTCATTTTTTACTTGTTTTTGTCTCCCTCCCCAGTCCCTAGGAGCATTCTACAAAGCCTAAGCATGCCCTGTTTTTTTTGCAAAAAGGGCCAATTTTTGTGAAAAACTGGCTTGTTTTTTGTTCATTTTTGCCCCCCAGTCCCCAGGAGCACTTTGCAGGCCTCTCAAACTCTCTGCATGCCCCTTTTTTTCACAAAAAATGAGGCGTGAAGAAGGTTTGGGAAGACTGTGGAGTGCAAAAACATTTTTTAAAAATTTACCTCTTCAAAATCTTGGTGCGTCTTATACTCTGATGCATCTTATAGTCTGAAAAATACAATATATTAGCATGACAGCTGCAAAATAGATGGGACTCCAAAAAACAAGGGGAAAGGTGTATTTTTCCTTAGGAGGGATGAATATGAACCAGCTCTTTTTTTCCCTATGACTTATTCTTGAAAGTAGATGAGGGGATGGAAGGAAGGGGAAAGTCTAATGTAGGGATTTTGGTGTGGGAAACTCAGTTCTGGTTACGCATTACCAGCATCCTTCAGGTATACATCCGAACGGAGTCTGCCCATTAGGGTTATAATCAAAAAAATTGTCAAATGGATCAGACTCAATTAAAATCAAATTCCTTAATTTGAATCAAATAGGTCATCAAATGAATGAAGATCTGACTTTCTATTTCCTCTAATTCATCAATTGATCACTGGCATCGTTAACTGAACGGGGAGCTTTCCCCCACTGCTGGCTGTCCATCAGCTGTTTCCAGTGAAGCCTTCCATTAGGAACTAATTTTCTTTCAAGCAGGATCCCAGAGCTCTGCGCTTGCAGTTCCTTTAAAAAAAAATCACTTAGTCAACTTAGAAGTATCTCCAGGCATTTTGGGAGAGGGGGGGATTTGCAGATCTCTCATCTTGAGTTGTTTTAATAAAAAAAGTCGCCCTTGCTAAGCTCAAGCCTCTTCAGCAGGCAAGGACTTAAAAAACAATAGTTAGCCAATTCAAACCTCTACATTATTTCCTACATTATTCCTACAATTCCTACAATAAGACAGAAGGAAAAAAGGAGCTTGAACTCAAGGTCAGCCTTGAACTTCAAGATCAGCCTCCAACACAGAAAGCTCATTGTCAGGGTTCCAAATAGCATCCAAAATTAAATCAGAGTCCAAGGCAAAGTATTGCTCAAAGTTCCAATTTATTAAGAGAGCCATGTTGGCACATCTGGGAAACCCCAAATCTGAAAGCTTCCCAGTTTTCCCCACCCAATTGAAAGTTCAAGATCTTGCCCCACACCCACAAGTCCATCACACGGTCCAATCTTTGACTGCTATGCTGGCAGTTCCACCTGTGCAGTTCTGGTCAGGTGCAGAGGTGCAGAGACAAAGGATGGCTTTCTAGAAAGGAATTTTGTTTGGGCTACATAGCATCTAACTCTGTACCATGCCCCCCTCCCATTTTCCCCCAAATGAAAATGCCTAGTAGAATAATAGAAAGTGTGGCAAGCCAAAGATTGAAAAGGAATATAGCTGTAGGCCTGCCACTCATATTTATCACTTCTAAGCCAAATTCCCCCTTGTTTTCTGGACACCTCTGGTCATCCATGGAGATTCTCATTCATCCAGGCCATGATTGCCCCAAAGGCGCTTTTTCAAAAGGCAACTGGACTTTCTTGGATTTTGCTGGAAGATGTTTCACTTCTCGTTCAAAAAGTTTCTTCGGTTCTTCAGAGAAAGAGGAAAAGAGAAACCTCTTCCAGCAAAAACCAAGAAAGTCCAGTTGCTTTTTGAAAAAAAGCACCTTTGGACACCTCTGGTCATTGCTCAGTTGAACTCACAGCAGGGACAGGGACAACTGAGAATTAGAACGGAAGGGACCACACTTACACAAAAAAACATTCCTAGCCAAAATTGTTGTTTAGATTCAGATTGTTGCCTTACACACAAACACACACTCCTAAACAGGGCCAGTATGTGGCAGTGGGGAGAAACATGGGATCGGTCTTAGAATGCTCTATAAGGGTGCCCTAGCTGTTGTCTCTGTTTGCAGCACAAAGATTGTGAATCGCACTGGTGATGCCCCTTTCTGTGGAATTAAAAATAGGACCCCAAAAAACAATAATCAAGTCTCGTTGCAGTTATTATTTATTCAGTATGCACTGGAGAAGTTTCTCTTCAGAAAATAGTAGGAGGAAACTCTAAGACAAAAGAATTGCAGTCAAATATATACATTTCAGGAAAGGAAGACAAAATGTTAATCATGCATAAAAGATAAAGGTTGCTTTCGGACATATGTGCTAGTCGTCCCCAACTCTAGGGGCTGTGCTCATCTCTGTTACAAAGCTGAAGAGCCAGCACTGTCCAAAGACATCTCCATGGTCATGTGGCCAGCATAACTAAATGCCAAAGGCACACAGAATGCTGCCACCTTCCCAACAAAGGTGGATTCTATTTTTCTACTTGCATATTTACAAGCTATCAAACTGCTAAGTTGGCAGAAGATGGGGCAAGTAATGGGAGCTCACTTTGTTATGCAGTGCTAGGAATTCGAACCGCCGAACTGCCAACCATTGTGATTGACAAGCTCAGTGTCTCAGCCACTGAGCCACCATGTCCCTTCATTACTTATTTGATAATTAATTGATACCTAATTATTTTATATTTAATAAATATTAATTAATGTTAATCATACATATGCATATTTAGACATTATGAAAGCTTGAATATTCATAATTAGCAAACCTCAAGGTACTTTCTTGTCCATCTACTGTTATTATTTTCAAGAAACAGTAATGGTCTAAATAAAAAGAAACCCATTATTCACATTGCTATAAAAATTTCTGTAATGAGAAATCAGGGTTTCAAGGTTGCCTGTTGCATTCCTTCTATTTCTATTTGATAACACGCTCCCACTTCTCAAAGAACATGTTTTCTCCA